GACATATCTTCCTACAGATGGTACATATGTTCCTACAAATTATGGAGCAAACAGTCTCAATGGCCTACCTTCTCCTTTTCTCACTGAGTGAGTGGTTATCTCTATTTTGGGAGGTGGGCTTCCTTGGAAGCTCTCAGTCCCTTGTGTTTAGCTCACATGTGTTCCCCTCAGTGGATGCTTCTCAACAACTGGAACTTCTCCCATGATCCCTTAGACCTTTGCATTACCCTTACCTAGGATAAGGTCTGTTCTTGCTTGGTGGTTAGTCGGGGAGCTGATATAGTGGGGATTCTCTTTCCTCCACTTTGTCCAATGTCTCACCTGTTTACCAATAATTCCTTAGTGGGTTGAGGGGCTTTACTCGATTCCCATGTGATTTCCGTTCAATGGTCAGCTGTACAGGCTACTCTCCATTTTCAATATCCTGGAACTTATGGCAGTCGTGGGGCTCTGTATCATTTTCTCTTTCTTCTGAGGATATGAGTGATTCTGGTTCTTTCCACTATTCCACTGTTGTCAGTTATCTCACCAAACAATGAAGAACTAACTCCAGCTATCTGTATTTTCAGACTCTGGATCTTCTTTACTGGGCCCATGAACCCTACATGGCAATATTGGTGTGTCACATTCCCAGTGTTATGTATCTGGTGGCCAATCACTTATTTTGAAACATCCAGATTCTCTCTTTGGTGTGGTCCCTTCTTCCACAGTATTTTAGGGGGTGTGTTCTCAACTGAGAACATTGCATTTACCTGTGTTTGTCACTCATTGGACTTCCAAAATTTCCTTCCTTCTGGGAGTAGGTGGGAGGGTTCTTTCTTTATATACCTACCCTCCAATCAAACTACTCTCCAGTGTTTTTCCTTATCCATATCACTCCTTGCTGTGTCCTGCTCGTTCCTCTATTTTGGCCTGTTCAAACATGATTCCCTCTGCTCTGACTCTTGCTGGAGTGACAGTCTATCCTTTGACCACTGCAATTAGACTTGGTTCATTCTAACATCACGTAACTCCACATGTTCATTCTGACTCGCCTAACTCCACCTTCACATGTGATTCTATGTCTGGTCCCTTCCATCAGCTTAGGGGCTCACCCCTCATGTAGTGTCCTTCCTTGCCCGAACCATTTGATCTACCTCCTTGTCTGTGTTCCAAAAGCATTGGTCTTCCTTCATTTGCCATAGCTTCTGCCCTTTACGTCCTACTGTTCCACATCTGTTCCAGTTCTTCACCTGGTTGTTTGATTGGGTTTGTCTGTGTTAACTGTTGATCATTATAGGGCTGTACTGTCGAACATCTTCCATTTCTCCCATTTCTGGTAAGCTTTCTCCTCCCTGGTTTTTCACTTCCGGTCTGTTTCTTTCATCCGGTCCGATCGCCACATCCCTTTCTTCTGTTAGATTTAGATAAGTCCATTTCTCCCTTTGTACCTATTGCAAGCTGTTCCTTGTATCATCTTTCCTTTCTGACCTATTTCCTCCTCCTCCTACTAGTATGTGGTTTCCATTGTTCTGATATTTCTGCCATTTATGTTTCCCATATCCTTTACCATTCCTCTTATGTTATCCTCTATCCAGATTGGGCTTTTCTTCCCAAGACTTCTGCTGCCTGGGGCTGTTGTTTTTGCCTTTTATCCTACTTTCTTATCTTCTATTTCCCACCTGTACTGTCATTCAGATTTGGATTGTCTTCTTTGTCCAGTTTGTACCCTGCAATGTTATGTGGCTCGTACTTTCTCCTTTCGTGGTTCTTGTTCCATAGAATCCCTCTATTTCCTTTGATCTGTCACCTGTTACCCTCACTGATTGTGTTCATCAAGTCATATGACTGGTGTATTCTGACTTGTCCAGGGGGTGTCATCATCTGCACAATGTTTCTTTGCATCAGATTCATCATCTAATTATGTTTTTCACTGCTTTGAGTCTGCCAGCCTTTGGAGGAAACTGTTCAGGCTGGTATATGGACAACTCCAAATACATTTGTCGCACTATATCTGCACAACCTAGCTGTGTCTTCCTCATTTGGGTATTGTCTTACTCTTGTAGCGATTCTACACATGTATGTTTGCCTTTGACTGGGGTAAGTCACATTTTCTTTGTATTCCTTATTTTTTTTTGTTGATGTACATCATATTTCAGGATCCCACCTAGTGGCAAGTGTTGCCTGGTCAGGTATGCTTAATATTATGTGTGTGCTAACTCTGTATCATTATCTAATGCTCACCATTGAGATGGAGTGTTCCGGTAAGACCACCAGATGCTTTTCTGATGGTATCATTGTATGCATGATTTTTTTTGTTTTTTCACTGTCTCCTATATACAGGACTGTCACTCATGGACTTCACGCATAAAGCAGGTAGGGATTTTTACCCATCCCTACTGACCTATTTCTGCTTTTCAAAATAGCGGATCACACACACCAAGTGCACTGTCTCCAGTGTGTCATTCCTTCAGACTCCCTAATGTGTATTCCCACCCCTTCTCTTCTAGTGAAGTATAGCAGTCCTTGCTACTTCTAGTTCACAGTTATTGGAGTGGTGGACTGAAGAGGTTTTCTCCTGAGTGGGTTTTATACAATAAACAAGAATCAAATTTATATATCACGTGTACCCACTTGGGCTATTGTTCTTATAATCATTACGATACCGAACAATGATTATACTATAACATAATATTCAAGATTGAAGGCGTTTCCACCAGATGTTTTTGCCCAGGCTGACCACGGTTATTGATCATGAAATACTTATGCAGAGTACTTTCACTGGATGTTTTCTGCCCAGATGGACCACACTTGGCATAATCTGCGATATCCTTAGGAGCTTCCCCTGGATGTTTTCTGCCTGGGTGAACTGCCCTTTTTTGTGTTACTGTGTTCCTTACTGGGCGAAGAACATATCTGTTCCAGAAGCCACAGGTATGCCTTCTATTCATACTATTGCACATTTGTTCTTTCAGTGTGGTCACTTTCCACTTGATTTTATTTTGCTGCACCTTCACCAGCCCCTCCACCTTTTGCAATGTTGGATTATACCTTTGGGGTGCGTGGAGGTAAGACTGTTTTGTAAGTTAACATTTTCTTATACTGAAAATGTATTTCCAACAGGTACTTACTTCCTCTCACTCACTTCCCACCCTTCCTCCCCACTGCCTTCTAATGTTTCTGGTTTGTATATGCCAATCCTTGAAAATGAAGATAGTGCTAGAATAGTAGAGGGAGCTAGTATAGATGATGCAGTAGGATTGATGGAGGGTAGTCACATTATCAGCACATGCTCTGAAAGGGTGTGAAACTGATGGGGTATAAAAGACTGGTGTGCAAGGCAAAAAAATGTTTTTAGCAATGCTTAGAGGACAAATCAAGATCGAAATAGCTTTGAGATGAGCAGAGGTAACTACATATCGGAAATACATTTTCAGTATAAGAAAATCTTAACATCACAGATCTAATGACTGGCTTCCATCAATGTCATAGTGTAATGTAACACAAGATGAGAAGTGATCATATCAGAATGGAATAAAGTTTCTTCTAAAGTATACAACTCAGATTAATGCAATGTAAACAGATCCAGTAACATGCATACGTTGTTAGGTCTACATGAAACATATGTATTAGATTGCCAAGAAATTAATGTTGCGTTTTTGAACACTTTCGTTAACCCCCCCAAAATGTGCATCACGTATAATACTTAAATGAACCACCTAAACATCACGTTAGTGTAGCCTATATAATGTGTAAAGTTTACTATAGTCTAATCCCTTATAGTGAAGGCACACGACGAGACACTCATTTCGCATGTAATGCTGTTCTAATACAAAAAGGAAAAAAATGCCTCTGTAGCCATAAATAATATCAAAGAAGTTTATGGAAATGTTTTGAACATTCGTAATTAGAACAAAACATACACTATTTAACCTTTTGTTCACTCACAAAGTAAACAAAACATAAAGACACTATTTAACCTTTGTTCAGCCACAAGTTCAAACAAAACATACACTATTTAACCTTTTGTTCAGCCACAAATTAAAACCAAACATATCACTATTTAACCTTTTGTTCAGCCACAAATTCAAACCAAACATATCACTATTTAAACTTTTGTTCAGACACAAATTAAAACAAAACATATCACTATTTAAACCTTTGTTCAGCCACAAATTAAAACAAAACATACATTATTTAACCTTTTGTTCAGCCACAAATTAGAACAAAATATATCACTATTTAAACCTTTGTTCAGGTTCAAATTAAAACAAAACATTTCACTATTTAACCTTTTGTTCAGCCAGAAATTAAACAAAACATAGACAAAATTTAACCTTTTGTTCACTCACAAATTAAACAAAACATAGACAAAAGTTTTGTTTAATTTGTGAGTGAACAAAAGGTTAAAATACACTATTTAACCTTTTGTTCAGCCACAAATTAAAACCAAACATATCACTATTTAAACCTTTGTTCAGCCACAAATTAAAACAAAACATATCACTATTTACACTTTTGTTCAGACACAAATTAAAACAAAACATATCACTATTTAAACCTTTGTTCAGCCACAAATTAAAACAAAACATACATTATTTAACCTTTTGTTCAGCCACAAATTCGAACAAAATATATCACTATTTAAACCTTTGTTCAGGTTCAAATTAAAACAAAACATTTCACTATTTAACCTTTTGTTCAGCCAGAAATTAAACAAAACATAGACAAAATTTAACCTTTTGTTCACTCACAAATTAAACAAAACATAGACAAAATTTAACCTTTTGTTCACTCACAAATTAAACAGAACATAGACACTATTTCACCTTTTGTTCAGCCACAAATTAAAACAAAACAGACACTATTTAACCTTTTGTTCACTCACAAATTAAACAAAACATAGACACTATTTCACCTTTTGTTCAGCCACAAATTAAAACAAAACAGACACTATTTAACCTTTTGTTCAGCCACAAATTAAAACCAAACATATCACTATTTAAACCTTTGTTCAGCCACAAATTAAAACAAAACATATCACTATTTAAACCTTTGTTCAGCCACAAATTAGAACAAAACGTATCACTATTTAAACCTTTGTTCAGCCACAAATTAAAACAAAACATGCACTATTTAACCTTTTGTTCAGCCACAAATTAAAACAAAACATACAGTATTTTTTCCTTTTGTTCAGCCACAAATTAAAACAAAACATTCACTATTTAACCTTTTGTTCAGCCACAAATTAAAAAACATAAATGTCACACATTAATCTTGGATATAAATGTTTAACTGAATACTTCTTAAAATCACTTTTTATATATTTTAGGCAGTTATTTCTAAAGTATATTACCTACTGATATGATATGTAATTAGCAAGATATAACACCACATGTATTTTATCTGGGTATCTAAACATAAACCTTGAACTTGGAGAGTTGTTTGTTTGACAGTTAATTGCTGCGGTTATTGAATATATTATTAAAATTGTAAAGTACACATTAATGTGAAGCTTTTGGTTATTATTTTGAGATTTCTACTCGATATGTTTTGATAGAAATGTTGCAACAGTTCTTTCATGTCACAGCACACTTAAATACTTGTCAAGGAACCACCAATATGTATATTCCATTCTCATGTTTCTCTAGTGTTTACGAGATCAAGTTGTAAGAATGATAAGAAATAATCCAAGCCACCTTGCTGCTGATACATGTAGTGATACATGTTCTGGATGTAGTGTGGCTCCCGCACTTTTGTACCATCTTTATCTTGGTACACTTCTGCTATATACAGATGCTTTCTGTCATGACTGATGCCTGCACCAGGTAAGTATGTTTTGGAAGTTAACATTTTCCTAAACTGAAATTGTATTTCTAATAATACTTACCTCTACTGACACTCTCCACCCTACCTCTCCATTAAAAGCTGGCTTATGTCTCAAGAAATTGATTACATTATCTGAATGAGGTGCTTACATACAGAACCTAGATAGAGGGTTAAATTGGTGGAGAATTTTGCAAATTACAATTTGCCCAAGGCATTCGAGTAGGGTATATAAAGATTAGAGCAAGCATTTTTCAATGCTTAGATGGGCAAAGAGTAGAAACCCTGGAGATCAAGAAATAGCTATAGTGTCAGCAGAGGTAAGAATTATTGTAATAACATTTTTAGTTTAGGAAAATGTTAACTTTCACAAGTGTACAAAATTATAAACTTACATGTGTTTAACATCAAAATTGTTAAGACTGAAACAAAGGTTATATAGCTTGGCCCATATCTGTGTGCAAAACAATTAACGAGTAATATTCCACATTGTGCTTCTATTGGATATTTTACTACTTCTTCATTGTGACAGTATGCTTCTGATGTTGCAGCACTGTTTGTGTCCTTTTTTGTATTCCTTTTTTATTTTACCAATCTCTTCCCCATCTTTTGTTTCTCTTCAGGTGTTCCACTAAAGCATGATCTTGGCATAATTCCAACCATGCATGAACCAGATAAAGCAAGTATTGCTGACAGGTATGTTTTTATGTCATTTTTTCATCACCATTCTTTAACTTTTCATCTGATAAGTAAGTCATCAGTTTCTCATGTGTTGATAGTAATAACTTTTATCTTTGATTAAACAGTTTTTTTTATCATTAAATATGAAAAAATATTCCCAATTGGGAAACAGAGTATAACTGGTCATTTTCTTGTAATATGCTGAGTACATAAAAAATAAGGTTCTAAGACTAAACTGACCATGGCAATTCTTAAAATGTTTTCGTTTTTTTAAATTCCTAATGTTTGTATTTTCCTTCTTAATTTTTCTTTTTATAGTCTGCAGTTTATTCTTTTACTGTACAACAGTGCAGACACTACAAACATGACAGGAATGTCTTCTATCAACATTTACATGCAATATCGCTTGCCAGAAACAGGTGGGAACAATGATGTTTGAAGTACAAGGTCTATGTAGTAACAGTAAATTATAAAAAAAACATGTGGCAACAATGATGTTTCAAGTACAAGGTATATGTAGTAACAGTAAATTATAAAAAAAACAGTTGGGAAGAATGGGGTTTCAAGTACAAGGTATATGTAGTAACAGTAATATATAAAAAACAGTTGGGAACAATGATGTTTCAAGTACAAGGTCTATTTAGTAACAGTAAATTGTAAATAAACCGTGAATTATAAAAAAACACGTTCGAACAATGATGTTTCAAGTACAAGGTAAATGTTGTAACAGTAAAATGAAAAATCAATCTGTTCTCTATTTTAGTGTATTGTAAGCTCTTAAGTAGTAATCAGTGTTTGTTTTATTTATGTTTATTCTAACATTTTTTGATTACTTAAAGCTCTTTAAAAAGAGAAAGATATGAAAACTTACACTATGTATAACTTTCTTGTTCTCTCTTTTTCTCATTAAACTAGCTATTGTAATGTTCCCGGCAACAGTGATTAAACTAGTTATTGTAATGTTCCCAGTAACAGTGATTAAACTAGCTATTGTAATGTTTCCAGTAACAGTGATTAAACTAGCTATTGTAATGTTCCCAGTAACAGTGATTAAACTAGTTACTGTTATGTTCCCAGTAACAGTGATTAAACTAGCTATTGTAATGTTCCAGTAACAGTGATTAAAGGGAACATTACAATAACTAGGGGAACATTACAATAACTAGTTTAATCACTGTTACTGGGAACATTACAATAACGAGTTTAATCACTATTACTGGGAACATTACAATAACTAGTTTAATCACTGTTACTTTTAATCACTGTTACTGGGAACATTACAATAACTAGTTACAATAGCTAGTTTAATCACTGTTGCCAATCACTGTTACTGGGAACATTACAATAACTAGTTTAATCACTGTTACTGGGAACAAAACTAGTTATTACAATAACTAGTTTAATCACTGTTACTGGGAACATTACAATTGTTCCCAGTAACAGTGATTAAACTAGTTATTGTAATGTTCCCAGTAACAGTGATTAAACTCGTTATTGTAATGTTCCCAGTAACAGTGATTAAACTAGTTATTGTAATGTTCCCAGTAATAGTGATTAAACTCGTTATTGTAATGTTCCCAGTAACAGTGATTAAACTAGTTATTGTAATGTTCCCAGTAATAGTGATTAAACTCGTTATTGTAATGTTCCCAGTAACAGTGATTAAACTAGTTATTGTAATGT